TTGTGAGTTTGTTTACAACGCAACCAGCCATAAAGCGGTCTAAAATAACTAGCGTACAATTGGAGAGTGAGAGCATTTCATCATTAATTTAGTTATATTTATCGGCATAATATAAAATATATTTTAGTTTTATTATGTTAATTAAAGATCAGATTCCAACTTTTTTTGAAAAAATAAAGTTAAATTATAAGTTTTGATATTATTTTAAGACCGGTCAACTATTGGATCCGTCCGAAGCCCTTTACCCAGTAAAAAATTTATTCGGTCATTTATTAGACCCTCTGATTTTATCACAATCCAATTAATGACCGTATAATTATAATACTAACTTCTTAACTCTAAAATTAAATCTGTCAAGTGTTTAAAGTACTTTAGTCATTCAATATTTTGTAAATATAAAAATAATCATTATAAAAAATGTATATTTATAATTAAAATAATATTTAAAATCTTTTTTGATTATTAAATTTTATTTTGTTGTAATTTTTTTTAGTGAACGGTTATATCAAAGAACGAATTGTTAGAAGAAAAAATTGCTAAGCAATTAAAAAAATCAAAAAGAGTTACAAGCTAGTAAAAAATCTTTAATTGAAAAAAAGAAGGAGAAGTATAAAAAAATTTCAAGTTAATCAGAAGAATTATCGTCATTCAAATGAATTTGTGATTATTTGTGACCTATAGAAATGTGACTTTATGTTAATTATTGTTATTATTTATATTATTTTATAAAAAATTAAGTACGATTTAAAATTATATTGTATGTTTAATTTTGTTAAAGATGTCGTTAATACTTGAAAAGTACTGCATAAATTTAATTACATACATGTAGTTTACAAAATTACTTATAATTATTTGAGCGGTTAATTAATTGGAGAACGGTCGGTCATTAATTGGGTTTTTTCGGTCAATAATTGGTGATTTTAGTATTTCAACATTCAAATAACAAAATTAATATAATTTTGTTAATTTTTATTATAAATAGTTATTAATTATTATTAATTAAGTATTTAACTTTAATAAAATCCATTACAAATTGTTTTTAGTAGGTTAATAGATTTTTTATAGCTTAGTACAGAAAAAGAAAACCTTAATCGGTCAATAATTGGTGCATTTACCCTATATAAAATCCAGGTATAGAAAATTGTTTTAAAAAATTCCATTTATAATTTTTTTGAGCTTCTAAAGATGAAGTTTTTTAAATAAATTTTTTTTGCTATAATTTATTTGTTAAAAAAATTGTAAAAATGATCATATATGTCTCTCAATTTCAGTATCATAAAATTATCCATCAGGTCATGATAAGCTGCCTGAATGATTAATAATCACAAATCGTCAGAGTTAAATAAAACACTTGAGATTTGTATAAATTAAACTTTTAAAAATGATTATTACATTATCATATATCGTGACATCAATATTATTAACTGGTATGTTATTGTTGATTATTGCACACTTTTACTACCACAATCGAACTCAAGGACGTCTTTGTAATTTGATTCCTGGACCTAAGTTCTATCCTATAATCGGAAATGCTTTGGACGTAACAATACATCCTGGTAAAATAAAAAATTTTGTTTATTTTTTAAATATTACTTAAAAAGAAGCGCGAATTTTAATAAAATATTTTTTTTAGCAATAAAAATTCTTATAATAGTTAAAAAATTTAAACAATTTTATTAATTAAATTTTTAGAAGATATTTGGAATTTTTTACGGCGTACATCAATTAATTTTTATCCTGTGTGGAAAGTTTGGTTCGGATTTTGGCCTGTTGTTAACATATATCATCCCGATGACATCGAGGTAAATATTTTTATAGATAAATTTTATTAATTATTAATTTTATTTTTTAACCATTAAAGATTTTGCTAAGCAGCAGTAAGCATATAAAAAAAAGTATGTTTTATGATTTACTACATCCTTGGTTGCAAGATGGCTTGCTGACTAGTACAGGTAAATAATAAATTACCCAGTTAAAAATTTAATTATTAACAAGTATGTATTTATTTTTTATCCGGGGTACCAAGGAGAAAAATGGAGAAGCCGAAGAAAAGTATTGACTCCAGCATTTCACCTGCATAATCTTAGAGAATATATGGATTGTTTTACTAATCATACAAATCGTTTGATAAAAAATCTAAAATTAGAATCCGGTTCTGATGGAGTCATTAAAGAACTTTTACCATTAGTTACAACATTTACTCTTCATACAATAGTTGGTACGTTTATTTATAAATTAATCAGATGATTTTTAATAAGTTTGAAAATTACTTTTTTTTTTTATTGTAACTAGAATCAACGATGGGCGTTGTAGTTGAAGAAAATGACATGAATCAGTACAAAAATTCACTTTATGAATTTGGAGAGATATTAATTTATAGGTGAAGATAAAATTGTGTTTAAAAAAAAATTATTTTTAATAATTATTGTAATTATTCACAGATCTTTTAGACCATGGTTGCAAAATGACTTTATTTTTGGATTCACATCTAGAGGTCGAGAATATGATGGTCTTTTGAAGAAACTCCATAATTTTACTAAAAAAGCATGTTTTTTTTTTTTTTTTTTTTTTTTTTTATAATTCTCAAGTTTTTAATTTTTTTTATTAATTAAATTAGAACAAAAAAAAATTTTTTTTTTAATTTTTAAATGTCAGCTAACTTAATTTTTATTTTTTTCTTATGTTTGATAAATTTTTCTTATGTTAAATTAGATAATTGAAGAACGTAAGCAGTATCACGAAGAAACTGAAGGACAATATTTAGAAAATTTTATGACAGAAAATAAAACAGATTTTCAGCCTATTCAAAAAAGTAACAAAACTAAACAGAAAAGACTTGCTTTTTTGGATCTTTTACTTTCAGCTGTAAAACGAAAAACAGGTGTTGATGAACGAGGAATAAAAGAAGAAGTTGATACTTTTGTTTTTGAGGTGAATAAAAAATTCATTTTTAAAATATTACAAAATGTCTTCATTTAATTAATTTTTAGGGTCACGATACTACTTCAGCAGCATTATTATTTGTTATTTTATTATTAGCTGAACATCAGGATATACAAGTAAAATAAAAATAATTTAATATTGCTTTAGTGAATTTAAACTTAAATTGTTACTCACTAAAGAAGAAATATTTTTTTTTTTAATTATGTTTTCGTTTTATAGAATCGAGTAAGAGCTGAAATAGAAGAAGTATTAGCTGAGAATAATGGAGAAGCAAATTTTAATGATCTTCAACGTTTAACATACTTGGAATGTTGTATTAAAGAATCATTAAGACTTTATCCTACTGTTCCAACTATATCGAGAAATACTCAAGAAGATTTAGTATTAAGTAAAAATTTAGTTTATAAAAAAAAAAAAATATTTACTAAGTATAAATAAATTATTTAATAATTTATTTATTGTTTCAGAGCACTGTACTGTACCAAAAGAAACAATTTTAAATGTCCAGATATTTGATACTCATCGTGATCCTAATTTCTGGCCACGTCCGAATGTTTTTGACCCAGATAGATTTTTGCCGGAAAATTCTGTTACCAGGCACCCTTTTTCATTTATTCCATTTAGCGCTGGTTCGCGCAATTGCATTGGTAGATTTTATTTACCTTCTTTAAAATTTTATTTAATGGTTAATTAATAAACATGATTAAATATTTTTTCAGGGCAAAAATTTGCAATGCTTGAATTGAAGACATTCATGGCTAGTCTACTTTACAACTTTTGTTTAGAACCTCAAGAAACTACTGCGGATTTAAGATTAATTCCTGATCTTGTGATAAGACCGGCTCATCCAGTTTATGTTAAATTTGTGCCAATAATTAGATAGTAGTTAATCTCAATTATCAGATTAAATAAATATATTTACAAAATATAAAAAACTATCTATAATATTGAGAGAATAATAAAAATTTTGTATCCAGGATATATAGTCATATGATAAAATCGGTTTTTAAAGTAAACTTTAGAGTCATTACAAAAGTCTTGATTTGAATTTGTGCCGTTTCAAGGTTTCATATCATTTTCACCAATAGTCAATTTATTATGAATAAGTATTTAGGCTGCATTTGAAATTGCTCTATTTCTAGATACATAATCAAGAAATGACCTTGTATCTTGTGAAATATTGACATTTTTAAAGATATAAGCTTATCCTGACATTACACTCATCGAGACCTTTCATTTGAGTACCCACATCAATTTTTCATATACTTCATATATTTATATATATATTACATATATGTATATATGAAAAATATATCAAAAATGCATGTGGGTACTCAAATAAAATCTCTTGATGAGTGTAACATCGGGATGAGTTTATATCTTAAAAAATGTCATTAAATAAGAAATGACCTTGTATTATGTCACCTATTAACATTTTCAAAGATATAAGCTCATCTCGATGTTACACTTATCAAGACCTTTCATTTGAGTACCCACATCAATTTTTCAGATATTTTATATATTTATATAAATTAAATATATATGTATATATGAAAAATATATCAAAAATGCATGTGGGTACTCAAATGAAAGCTCTTAATGAGTGTAACACCAGGATGGGTTTATATCTTTAAAAATGCCAATATTTAAAAAAGTACAGTGCAATATAACAAAAATCATTATTTAATAAAACAAATTTTTAATTTTAAATAGCTCACAAGTCACGGCAGTCACGTAGTGACTGCCAGGTTGCTATTTTTTTATATTTTATTGTAAAAAAAAAATTATTAAAATTCTATTTAAATGTAGTACTTTTCATTTTCTTATCTCATTTTTTGTAATACTGAAGTTAGCAGTCAGCTGACAATTTTAAAAAATCTTTTTAACAAATCAATTACAATAAAAAAAATGCTTCTAAAAATTTTCACTTGTAACTTTTATTAATTTTCACATAAAAATTTTTTACTTAAATTTTTTTTATATTAATATTAAATTTAATTGCTGTAAAATTATAAAAAAATTTTTAATATCTGTCAACTTCAGTGTCATTTTTTATAATACTAAAATAAGGAAACATTTAAAATTACAATTTTACAATAAATTTTTTATAAATTATTATAAAAAAATTAAAAAAGCAATTTTTTTATTTAATAGAATTAAGTGACAGCTAAATTTTTAAAAAAATTGACAGCCGTTAGCTAACTTCACTATTTTTGAATGAATTTAGTTAAACAAAACTCCGCAAGGCAGCAGCACTTACCGGCAAAATAAAAATAAAAAGTGTACTTACATGTGTATTAATTACGTGTGTGCGTAGTAGATGTATTGACATATAGATAACGTGTAAATATATATAGAAATAGATTTTTATATTTAATAATAATAACTGACGCCTGCGCTCTAAAAAAACTATCCCTGGCATAGGTATCTTGATGCAGATATATCTATATGTGTAACTGATCAATTTCATCAACTTCACTGAAATATCACCTGATTACATAGTAAACATTCAAACAAATTATTAAAAATGGTAATTATATTATTTATTACGTTATTTTCATTTTATTTTTCTAAATAATTCAATTCTATTCTTTTTAATTTAATTAACAATCTGTCACTTGTAATAATCGATTGGAACACTTAAAATAAAACCACTTGATTATTATCTTTTTATTTGTTTCTTAAACTAAATATTTCACTATAACTAGCTTAAGTGTTATATATATATATATATATATATATTATTTAATAATAATTATTTTTTTTTTATTTTTATTTTTCAGGGAAACGAAAGTTCTTTGCCGATGGAACTTTGTTCAAATTGTAAGTATGGTTATATTTATTATTATTATTGTTATTGTTTTTTTATTTAAATTATTAGTAATTATTTAATCAAGATAAAATTTTAATTAAATAATTTTTAATATATAAAAAATTTTAATTTATTCTTTTTTAAAAATTATTTTTTGTTAAAAAATTTAATTAATTTTTTTTTTTTAGTAAATAAAAATAAAAACTAAAATTAATATTAATTTTTTTTTAATTGAATAATTTTTAATAAAAAAAAAAATTTTATTTTATGTTTTAAATTATTTTTTTATTAAAAATAATTTTTAAAAATTTAATAAAATTTTTTTTTAATAAATAAAATTAATATTAATTTATTTTTTAGTTGATGCTGATGAAATCAGACGATTAGGAAAAAGATTTCGCAAATTAGATCTGGACAACAGCGGAGCGTTGAGTATTGATGAGTTTATGTCGTTACCAGAATTACAGCAGAACCCATTGGTACAGAGAGTAATTGATATTTTTGATGCTGATGGTAACGGTGAAGTTGACTTTAAAGAGTTTATTCAAGGCGTTTCACAGTTCAGTGTTAAGGTAATTTTATTTTTTTTTTTATTGAGAAAAAGCTAGGGTGAAAAGTTATTAATAACTTTGAGCGACAATAAAAATATTTGTTTTTTAATAGAAATTTATATGAGATGACGACTGTTTTTTGAATGGTTTATTTTGATAAATGTATTTACTTGTTATGTGGCTTTCAAAAATTAATGCTTTATTAAATAATGATTTTTGTTAAATTGCCCTGTGTTTTCTTAAATATTGAAGCTTTTTAAGATATAAGCTCATATTGATGTTACACTCATCAAGAGCTTTCATTTGAGTACCCACACGCATTTT